ATGCCAAATGTATATTTAAATATTTAGAAAATTAGAATGTTGCATAGTGTGTCAAGGACTGGTCACTTGTTTAAAGCAAATGTATAAAATGTAGAACATTTATTAAAATTGGTTAACGTTTAAGTCAACCCAATAATACCCAGTTCTCATGTATAACGGTTTTGTAGTCAGTTTAGAAAGACAACCTAATTTTTTTTTGCCCAATTTAGTTTTAAAGATGCACTGACATACAATTTCATAATTTATCTTTCATTTGAAAAAGTATTTGAACAAAAGGTATACATAATATTGATGGTTGTCTCTGGTTTAAAACCAAAACATTCACAACTCAAACTTTCATGACAGTTCAAAAGAATACATTTTTAATACACAGTACATTAGACACTGTTGAACAAGATATTAATGTAGATTTAGTGGCAACTATTCTTTTAGTTTTGTAGACAGATCGCACTATTGACAGATTGCACTATTATGTTTTTCTCTTCTTTTTCATTCTTTTATAACTTGTTTTAACACATTTGATCTGTTTTTATCATTTTTATATTTTTCATTATTTGTTTTTATTTTTCTTATACTTGTCTCTTTTATTCCTGTTTATGTAAAGCACTTTGAATTACCACTGTGTATGAAATGTGCTATAGAAATAAACTTGCCTTGTCTTGCCTTGCCTTGCCTTTGTAGATTCATAGTTCTCGTGAAAAAAATATTGTGAAGAATTATACACCAAAAGATAATTGGCAGTAGAAATGGTTATTGTGATATTTACTGTATGCATTGTAACGGACGCTATAAGAGTTGTGTAAAATTAGACTTTTAACACATACGCAAAAAAGTTTGCAAAGACATTTTGTGTTTTAAAACTGCAGCACTGGATACTTCAATTAGGTCAAATATTTTGGTGAGATGCCCGTGGTCATAAAAACATAATTAAATGTTTCAAAACATTCTGCATCAGAAGGTAGATAAAATAAACTTACTAATGCATTAAAGTTTACTGCAAAGTATTCTTAAAATAAAAAAAGTGTTTACTCTTTGTTATTATTGTGTTTTGCTGGCAGTATTGAGTGTAGCATTCAACTACGATACAAATAATTGTGCTTAAGTGTTGTTATTAATGTTACTTGGGACACTTTAGAGGTTAAAAAGCATTAAGAAATCAGGCGTTGAGCCCTGGCCGTCTGGATGAAACCCAGAAATTCTAAGCATTACACCATATTGGTGTAACCAATGTATTTCAAAACATCACTTTTTTTTTCTTTCCCCCCAAATGAAAAATCGTTGTTCCTAAAAAAACTCCAGAAGAAAGGGGACAACGTTAAGTAACTTTTGAAAACTGACAGTTTTAAAAACATGTATGCTTTGTTACATACAAACTCTGACAGTGGTGCAAAATTACAGATTTTTAGCACATGCATAAAACGTTTACATTTTGTGTTGAAAAACTGCTACAGAGTGGAAAATCAAAAACTTGAATTAGGTCAATGCTATTGGTTTGTAAAAATAAAACTCCAGTCATGCAGTAAGTTTAATGAATAGTATTTTAAACATCACTTTTCCAAGTAAAATGCACAGATAAAGCTTTTATATTCAGAGTGAAAAAACATTCCGTTAGATTTTAGTTTGATCATTTGAAAATGTGTTTGGCAGTAAAAAAAAACATTGTTTAAAGAAACATATACACTCCCAACAAATTGCGTGTAGTGACAAAAATTTGGTTTAAGTGTATTTGTAGAAGAAAAGCATCATTTACCCTGTAAAAAAGTAATCAGTCTACTTTCAAGAACTATTTGTAAACTTGACTAATTTTGACAAATTTGTAAACTTACTAGATTTGCCACTATTGTATGAACATGTAAATAGTGGATTCAGTAGTTAAACTAGAAAAATTTACTATAAAACATTAAGTAGATTTAACTAAGGGCTGGAGCTGTACTGTTTTTAGATAAACTGAGAGCCAATTTTTCTTCTTAAAATAAATATCAGTGTTATTCCATTATTCTGAATAATATACATATTTCTCTTTATATGATCAAGTATTTGCAATGAATTAAAAACAGTTTGAATTTAAAGTTCAGTAACTAAGTTGTCTAGTAATGCAATTACTACAATTTATTGTAATAAAATTACATTTTATTTATCTTTTGAAACAGAAATAACAATAATGTCTAAAGAGTGATAAGTCCTTGTTAGTAAATATTTTATGTTGATTTTTTAAACCAACATCAGTGATGACCAGTGCTCAAAACATTAGGCTTTGGATTAACTGTATTACAATGTGTGCCATAAATTACAGGTCATGCATGTAAATAAATTGAAAACATGTTAGTCAAAGGAAAAACTTTCATTTTAAATTGTTTTTCATAATAAAAGTTTTCATTAATTATAAAGACAACTTGAATTTACATCTGTGTTTTTCAACATTTTAGAATATTAAATTTTAGATAACGTTGTTTTAAAAGGTGTGACAATTTATTGTCAATAAAGATTAAGATGTGTTATTTACTGGATTAATATTGTAAACATTTTCCCTGAGATGGGTTGCAGCTGGAAGGGGGTCCGCTGCGTAAAAACTTGCTGAATAAGTTAGCGACTCATTCCGCTGCGGCGACCGTGGATTAATAAAGGGGCTAAGCCGACAAAAAAATATTGTAAACATATTTTAATTTAATACTCCGACAAAGATAAATCAAAATGTTTGTGTGTCTTAAAATATGTATTATTGTAGTAATAATGTGAAAAACAACATAACCTATTAATGAGTATTTTTAGTAAATACTGTGTCGTGGATTCAAGCATACAAAGCCAGACCCAAGTTCGCTCGAGCGCGCACACATGCACGCACGCACGCACGCACACACACACACACATACATATGCATACAGTTGACTGCATGTGGATATATAGATATCAGCACACTTTCTAATCACCTAACAACATATAGTAGTTAGTGGGAGACACCCAGCACATACAATCAGATATACATATTCTACATCTGATATAAATCTATCTTTCACAAGCAGTTGACGGGATGTTATCCAAAGTTTTCCTTATCATCACACGCTCAGACACAGACTGACACACCGAGGAAACACAAACAGGTTAAACAAAGAAATGTTTATGTTAATAGTTTATTAATTATAATATAATATAATAATGTAATAATATAATATAATATAACAATATATAATATAATATAATTAAATTTAATATAAATATAAATATAATAATATAATATAATATTATTATATAATATGATATAATTATAATATCAGTTAATAAAATAATGATTTAATATAACTTAATATAATATAATATAATTTAATGTAATATAATAAATATAATTTGTAGCACTAATTAAAAATATTAAATAATGCTTCTAATAACACTAATTTAATTACCGTTATTATTATCATTATATAAGTTTAATTAGTCTGATAAAAATCTAATTACCGGAATCAATAATTTAATTAGTCTGATAAAAATCTAATTACCGGAATTATTATTTTATATAAAAACGATAAGAATCTAATTACCGGAACTATAAAGTTTATATAAAAGGGGCAGGGCTTAGACCGGAAGTCCCGCCTTAGGGGGCGGGGCTACAATCCATCAAACTTTTTGACAGGTAGTCCATCATAATTCTCTCTTGCGTTCTTGTGGGGGCATTATGCACATGGACATAGAAACTGGGCTATGTGCAAACATGGATGTACCACGAGTGATAAAAATATTTGAAAAATACAGATTCACACCCGTCGAACATAGACAAAAGAAACACAATTAAAGGGGAGGTGAAAATGAGAATGTGTCTTACTTGTCCGCTTGTGATCAGAGTGACAAAAACACATCTTACAGTTTTCTCAGTCACTTTCATACAACTCTCTGCTGTTTTATAACATTGTCATTTGCTCATGTCATGTCAGTCAAAATTAAATAAACTTGTGCATGCGGAATAGTCATTCCATATAAAACTTCCTCATTTCATTACTTGAGTCACTACATGCAAAAATGTTAAACTAGTTATCAAAATCTGTCAAGCTAATTTTATATAAAAAAGTTAATCTTTTTTTTTTTTTGCTGAAAATGTTTTATAAATTGAACAATTTCATTAAGCACTTACAGTATCTGTGTACTACAAGCATACAGCATAAATTTGTGTTAAACCAGAGGAAAAGTATCAAAATAATTCACTAAAGCTCTTTTGCACTAATATAATGTCATAAAATGTCTCTAGTTTAAGCGCATCGAGCATAAAACAATTATGTTGTTGCAAGAAAAACACAAGAATTATGTTGTTTTAGTTCATTTTAACTAAGTACACCGTAACAAATAATGCTCTATATCTACTCAATAAAACTTGGGTAACAGATTACAAGCAACATTGTTAATTAAATTTATCAAATATGGATTGAGTAACAATTAATTAAACTAGCTTATTTAAAATTAGTCAAAATGAATAACTGCAAACAGTGCTTAAAAAGATTAGCAAATTTTAACCAAAGTTATTGTTTAGGTTATTGATTGTTGTAACAGAAAATGATTGTGTATTTAAAAATGCCCATTTTAATCATGTTGGATTTAATTCATATTTTCTCTTTTTTTAATTATTCAAAAGTGATAGCTAAATTCTTTTAAAATTGATTGTATTTTATTACAGACATTTTAAAGTAATTTTAACGCAAATAAAATCCCTAAAAACAGGAAATTATTAATTTTATTAAAGTGTATATTAAATTCTAATCAAATCTACAAGGCCACAGAATTACTTTTTACAGTGTAGTTTGATCAAACAAACATCGTATGAGATTAGAAAATATAGACACATTTCTGTCAAAATGACTCATTGGTTAGATGCTCATATACTTTTCTTGATTAAAAAAAGTAAACACCTGAATAATTTTAAAATCAATAATAGTACGTGTGGTTTATTGCAAAACTTTGGTTATGTAACTAACAAAAAGAATGGTTTTAATCACGTTAATGAGACGGAATGTGTTTACCTGGGATTGAAGAGCCTGGATGTTGCTGTCAGAAAGCACTAGAATACGCAAAGACCACAGACCAGCAAAAGCTCGACTGCGGATCTCCGTGAGTCTGTTTCCTCCCAAATCCAGGAGCCAGGTCCCGTGAGGAAGACCGTGAGGCACGTCCTCGAAGCCCCTGGCATGGCAGTCCACCAAGTCTGAGTGTTCATAGCACTGGCACAGGTGAGAGCACAGCCTAGAGCTCCTCGACGGACACAGGAAGAGTGAAAACACCGCGATGGAGAGCAGCATGATGTGGCGACAGACTGCTGCACAGCGGATCCTCAGCTTTCTACGGGACACTGCAGTTAGTTTCCATTAAATGTTTATGTTGTGGTACGAAAATGCTGACTTTATCAGATGAGCTGGATATTCGCAATCTGGTGCAGCTGAAATGTCTTTTTTAATCGCCTTAAAACCATATGCGACTCATTTTCTTCCCCCAGCCCCTCCGCCCCCGAAATGCTCGCAGTCAATGCGAAAACACACAAAAGCTTGCGGTTTTTACCAATAAACATTAAAAGTGTAGTAATAGATATAGTGCGTGAAACACTGAGTGCTTTGTTCCTTTTATCCACTAGACACTAACAGAACCACTTTTTCCTCAAAGACAGTGACTCAGTTTTACTCCACATCCACAAAGATGCGCAGCGCTCTAGTGATTGGACAGCTGAGTCAACTCAGCGAGTCGGTTCTTTTGAAGTAGGTTAACAAATCAATGAATCTTTCACGTCATAGCATATTCATTTAAAAATAGTTTTATCAAGTTTAAATAACTAAAACATATATAATTCTATTATATCAGTGTGATTAAAGGGTTTTAATAAAATGTTAAACGTTTTGATAATTTTAACCTCTGTTGCTCTGTTAAACCAATGGCAAATGAACAAATGTTTTTTTAAACATGGGTTTATTATATTATGCAGTAGTTAATCCATTTTTGTTTACCTGTGAAATATTTTATGATCATATCCCTGCTCAAATTTAAGAAGATGTTCGTTCTAATAAAATTTAAAAAAATGGAAAATATCAAGTTAAACAAAAATCTCTTATAATGTGGCTAACTTTTTTTAAAATGAACCGTTTCCCATATATAAAAATCGCCATATAAACATTTCCACGTCATAATTTGTGGCATTTCACCTAGGCTACTTCGTGAACGAATCATTCATACAGGTTTCGTGAATCGGTTCAAAAGATTTAGTAAAGAATCGACTCCGAAGAACCATTCGCGTACTCAGACGCGCAGCTGTCAGATTTGTTTAATCCTGTACGCTTAAAACCTCAACTATCCTTGTATTACATGATTGTTTTACCCCAGATAACCTTATAATATGCATACTGTTCAATATGGTTCAATTAAACACAATCTTAGACAACCTGCTGATAAACTTAGAAATAAGCGTCAACATCAGCAGTCCCAAAGCTCACCAAAGACATTCATTGGCCTACATAAAGAATAAATGTGGTTTGTCGCCGAAACTCAAATGTATTTCCAAAGACGAATTCTGTCTCCACAATATCAGTCTTATTATGAAGCATTTTAAATGGGACCATCTTAAAGGTCGACATAAAGTGACAGTAGGCCACTTTCCTTATAAGTATTGTCATAATTTTCATCCTTAAGTTTTTAACACCCACACAACACGACCCAGCAAACAATTTTTTGGCCAATAGATGTCTAACAGACATCTAAACGTAGAAAGCTTGGCTAAAACAAAACTAAACTTGGCCTGTCAGTGAAAATCTAATGGACAACTAATAATAGCCCAAAACTAGATTAGTCGTCAGACAGATTAGACAGACTTTACATGTGTAGTCATTCATTTCTGTTTATTTGATGACCAGTTTATTTTTTGGACTATTCTTAGATGTCTATTAGATTTTCACTAAAAGCTCAAATTTAGCCTAGTTTTATCCAAGATGTTTAAACGTCTATCAGAAACACATTTCATAATTTTTCTGTTACACGAACGCCATGTATTTTTATTTAGATGGCAACAAAATTGCTGCACCAATGAAACTTCACTGAATCAGTCATTCCTTAATATTCTGACGTTTGCATTTCATATAAAACAAATGTGACACTCGGGTGAACAGGCCAACTTGCTGCTATGGTTTTGTCTACATGCTAATTAACCTTCACTGCTAGCTAAAGTGGCCCAACACAATGTTGACGTGACCTAGATGTACAAAAGGGGTCAGGGGCAGAAATACGAGATCATGTGTGATTAAATAATGCATACGTTTGTAAGTGAATAATGGAAAAACCTTGACATCAATCATTCATTTCAGTCAATTGCATGTCTTGGATGTAAATATTGATGGTCCCCCTTTGATTCCCAAAGAAAATGAGGCCCTCACTTTTTCTGACCCTATACATGACCAAAGAAGAATATGGGAAACAACAACTAATAGCACATCCAGACTGACAGACTGTTATAATAGCTTATCATTGATATATAATCGTTAATTTTGTATGCATCTAAATATGACACAAGCCCGTCTACCAAACACAATCTCATGGTAATTCACAACTTTTTTTTTTAAGTGGAAAGTTCGTATGAATTTGTACGATCTCATTCGTACAATGGCCTATATGCACAGCTAGTGTTTTCCAGCCACTGATGAACTTTCGGTAAAAACTTTGTGACTATTTTCCATTCCATAAAGTTTCTTTTACAGCATCAATGTTGTAATGCAAGTAAAATACATTCAGTTAAACAGACTTGAGCATCCATTTGGTTGTTAAAGCGTAAAAAGAGACAAAAGATTGTTTAAACACAGGCGCCGTCATTAGCAGCAGGCAAGGGCGGAAACTTCATTGATAATACTAGGGTAAAATTAATGTCCATATTTTAAAGAAATGGCATGGAAAGATCTAATTTAATGCAGTGCTTCTTGTTTGGTCTGATACCCACTTTATATCTTATTTCAGCCAGGCAGTGAAGATCTCGTTTTTTTTTTTAAAAGAAATCAGATCTTAAACACGGCGTTTTTGTATGGGATGACAATTCACCGGAAGCGCTGGGGTTGGCTGACTGAAATTAAAAGTCTGTGTGCATATACCCTATTTAGTACGATTTCCTTATTCCCCCAACGATGGTTGGGTTTAGGGGTGGGGTTGGGTGCCACACCTACTTTTAAAAATCATACATTTTTGTACGACTGAACTCGTATAAGTTAGTCACTAAACTGACAAAACATTAAGTCATATTTCCTTATGAGATCAGGCTGGTATACCAAGTATTTTAAGCACCTACTAATATTATTTATTATGAATTTTGTGATTAAAGTTGATTTCAAAAATTATGTTCACAATACAAATAAGGTCAGATTTGCAATACGTAAACTAAGAATTATTTAGATGAAATCCACAAAATCGTGAAAACAAACTTTATATTTTTTAAGTTTATAATTTGCTTCAAAAAACTGTTGAATATATTTCTCAATTCTGAATTCATCTGGCATGTTTAAATCAAGTAAGAACTATGATATATAAACCCAGAATTTTCTGTTTTTTATGTGAAATTGAGTTTACAAATTCTGCGTTTAATAATATTGTTTACCTTTTGTCAGAATTGCAAACATAAAAACTGAATGTTTTTTATTTATTTATCACAATTGCTCCCACTGTGATCAATTGTATAGATCTTAATGCAAAATTTTCAGATCATTTCACCAAAACTTTGTAACAAACTGAAATGAGAAACAAATTTCCACAAGCTTATGTTCCCATTCTTCAATACACGCATATCAATGAATTCTTCTATCTTTGAGCCGCAAATCACTTTACACCTTTTGCTCCACAGACTTACTCATAGGCATGACAATATGCGAGATTGAAAACAAACTTGCTCAAAGTTGTTTGACTAAAAGAAGATTAAAGGGTAGGTTCACCCAAAAATGATAATTCTGTCATTATTTACTCACCCTTCATTTGTTCCTCTGTTAAACACAAAATATATTTCAAGAGTTCACACTTAGCTGATGATCGATTGTAAAGCGCGTTTGGCATTCTGTCCCAGGAGAGAACCCTAACCTCATAGGATCCTCGAGCCCGGGGCTCCCACCTGTTTGCAGGGCGAGAGGGGAGTTGGAGCTCAGGTATGTCTTGAGAACTCCCCTGTTTGTTGAGACAAATGGCTGGATAAGGATTGCTATAAATATAAACTCCTGGTTAAGAACACATCTATTGTGCCAATTTGGTTTGGTCAATTTACCTAATGTTGCATGTGTTTGGACTGTGAGAGGAAATGTAAGAACCTAGGGGAAACCTATGCAAGCACAAGGATTAACATGTGAACTCCGTACAGAAATGTCAACTGGTCGGGTAAAGACCTGAACCAGAGATATTATTGCTGAGAGACAACAGTGCTAACCACTGGGCCACCGTGCCACCCTCTTAAGGAAAAGGGGAGGAGTAGGGGCGGAAGGGGGGATTCTTCAATACAAAGATGACTAAAGCTGCGGTCACACTGGGCTTTTCCTCCCATAGACTTTCATTCATATGCACGAGAATACGTCAAACCAGAAACGCAGGGTCATGCATCAAATTTCGCAGGTTGCTGCGGTGCAAAGTTCAAGCTTGGTGAACTCTGACCTGCGAAATTGCATCACTTGACTGCGTGAGACCAATCGAGGATCAAAACATAACATCTCTGGACAGAAATTTCAAACATGGAGCAATCACTTTTTTAAATGTTTGATAAGCTTGCTTAATCCCGCCCCTTTTCGCAGCACCGCACGACAGAATATCACATGCTCAAACTCTGTGACCGCAGCTTAAGGTAAGCCACTCTGGTTATTTATAGTGAGTTAGGAATCGTCTGATTGGTGAATTATGCATGAGCTAATGTGAACCAGATACAGTCAATAAGAAACACATGATCCTCTCGAAATTAGTTTATAAATAAACTTCAGCTATTTTAAAGAATACTAGTAGTTGGCACCATTAAAGTAGATGAGCTGCGTCTCATTTCAGAGGCTGTATCCTCTGAGGGACGTAGACTTTAAAGGCGATTCCTTCGAAGTCCAAACAAGCCGAACCGAGCATTTTGAAATAAGACTATCTAGCCTACAGATGACAGATCTTGTCACCTAGCAACCATAACCATAACAGCTGCCGTTAATAGCTTAGAATCACCAAGAGGCGACACTCAATAGAACGCACCATTGCAACAGCAGTGCCCAGCAACAGCCCCGCGATTCCACCATTTTGGAGTAAAAGCCATCAGCCGTCCATTGGATCTTATTGCTGTCGCAATGGCAAGCACCTGTTTTTTTATTTATTTATTTATTTAAAAAGCTGATACAACCTGAAAGACGACAATACAACACTTCAATCACAATCATCAGCACTTTTAAAAGTTTGTTTTACAGACTTATAATATGCTGTTGTTTTATTGGTATTTTATTTTTAATACTAGCGGCATCTAGTGGCTGTTTCCCAAATCGCACTAGTGTCACCTCTTGGTGATTCTCTGCTCTTTGTAAGCGGAAATACAGTGTGCAATAACTTTTTTTCGTAAAGTGATTTTAAAACTTATTTCAAGTGATCTGAAGGTGGTGACGCAGCGCCCTACCAATGGATCCGTTGGAGGATGCAGCCTCTAAAATGATGGTTCCAGCAACCAGCATTCTTACTCAAAGTTTAAAACCAC